CTCGGAGATTTCTCACAGTAAAGGGCAGGGGGTGCATACCAATGGCTGGGGAGTCATTGCATGAGGAGTCTTACAGCAGGTCCAGCTTGTGCTCATTGTCTTGAAAAGGCAAGAGCATGGGGGTCTCGAAAAGGAGGTGATAGATAGCAGTGGGGTTGTAGAAATCTTTGGCATCCAGTCTGAGTGGGAAGTGTCACTTCAAAAGAAACACTGCTTCAACTCTTGCAGGTGTCCGGCATACTGTTTTTCTGGCTAAGTCGTTTATGTTCTCCACATATGATCTGGCCTTTTGGAGGATCTTTCTTGTGTGGTTTGGGTTGTGTACCCCAAAGGTCGCTATGACCCTGCTCACTGGGTCTTGTCAGTGCAGAATGAATGTGAGGTGTGTTGGCATAAATCTGCACAAGTGTGATGCCAGAGTGCTTGACTGCACTGGTGAAAATATTAATTAGTTGTCTGTCAATGGTTAAGGGGTGGTGGTCAAGGTTCGATTGAAAGTTGGCAGCCTCAGGGATGGCAGTGGCAGTGTACAGTGATCCCCTGTGTCCCACAACCTCCTGGAGTCCATACCTCGACCACATTAGGTCAGTACTTGGATGTTTTGCAGAGAGGGTGCATGCAACGTGGCATGTGATGGAGCGTACACCTTTGTTCACCAGGGATGAAATTTCAAGTGTTCTTTCAACTTCTCATCATAAAGATGACAATATTTGGGTTGTGTCCCGATCAACCTGTTGGATTGCCTACATAAGTATCTCCAGTATGAATGACTGGTCCTGCCGTAGAATTAGCATAAGTCCCAAGTCATTCAGGGTGGCCTTCATCCCAGCTGGACGTTGCATGTCTTCTGGTGGCAGTGATTTCAGTTTTTCAGCAAAGACATTCAAGACCGCATTTATTATTTGTGCTGCGTTGGCCCTCGCAGCTGTCTCGGTGCAGAACACCGGGTGCGGGTTCTTGTTTTCTGCCATCATGCAACAAATGTTTAAGAGATATTCACCATCCACAAAAGACAGGGTGTGTCAAGTCAGTGCAGAAAGTCCCTCGGTTTTGTAGTCTGTAAGTTGGAGGTGTTTTTTTAAGTTCCAGTGGGTTTGGAGGGTCGGCCCCATGAACTTCCCCACAAGCAAGTCATGCAGGTGCGCTTTTATTGCCATCAGATCTTTAAGTTCCATGACAACGCCATCAATGTCATAGTCGTAGTTTACTGTGTCCTTTGCTTGGGTGACAGTAGTGGGGAAAGGGGGATGTGGACATCCTCATCTCTCAAGAATGCTTCTGCAGTGTTGAGGCTGTAGAATGTGTTAAGCAAGTTTTTTGTGTTCTCACTGCATGCCCCATTGAACACATCCCCATAGAGATAGTCAAGCTCCTCATCTGTTTACTCAAAAGTAAGGTCTATGGGTTGTGCCATATTTTCTGACAAGGGAGGAACAGATGATTATAAGCTGGGTTACGAGACCTAGGGTGAAAGAAATAAGACATGAGAAAGCAAAGTGAAGTGATCTGACCATCAAGCAAAACATCTTGATCCCTCCCAAAACATGAAATTAGGACAGAAAAGGGGGATAAAATATTGTGAAAAACCATCAAAATGTCCATAAAAGGTGAAGGGCCATCAATAGCGAAGCATCAACAGCAAAGTCAAGTGATCCATCCATAAATCAGAACCCCCAAGATGTCCATGAAAGGTGAAAAACATCTTCATCCACCTCTCCCATGCTGAAGGGAGAGGTACATGGAGATGTACAACCAGCCAGTCATTACCTCAAAATAGACCAGACCATTATTCTAACAGTAAATATACACATCAATATAATTCTGTCATGACAACTCTCGGAGGGATTGCTATGGTAATGTACATGACAATGTTAATGTGTTTGGTCTTGGCGGAATAGATATGTTACGCTGCTGCTTCTGCTGCAGCAGAGCAAGTACCGAGACTTGCTACTGCCAATACATCCACAACATCCTGCTGTGAGCATGTAAGAAATACTGCTGCTGGACATATAACATATATGGAATAACCCTCATATAGCATACATGAATCACCCCATAGCAGATCTATACAGGTGGAGCTGGGGAAGGTAGAGGGTTTCTGAAACATGCTGCTACTGCTACAGCAAGCACTAGTCATATATTTGAATGTTGAGCAGCGAGCTCATTGTCTACCAATACAAGAGAGAACCAATCAACTGTGCCACGGGATAAAGATATTATTATGTCAGATTGAGTTAGACTTATCGGACAGCGCCATCTAGTGTTTCATGCCAGAACTTTGTATTTGTCTTCCTGTAGCTGAAAGAGTAGAGCAGTAGTGCTAGCAACAGCATAGGTTCAGCTTTGAGGGAATGAATCACGTGCCATGCACAATAAAACCCAAATGCACATCGCTTCATATAAAACTGATATGTCAAATGCATATGTAGCCATTTATGAGCACTATATTTATGTATACTATTTACAGCTGCATTACATTTAATGCTATTATTCAAGAGAAAGAACACTGCATATGAATACAAGTGTCAGAACTGTGGAGGAATGAGCCTGGACTCATTGGCCATCATAATTCTCTCTGTGGATAACGCCCCACAGCATTCACTCCTGTCTGCCGTTCAACTACAAAGCATCACTGAGAAGAGACAAGAAACACTGACAATTCATACTCTTTCATGGAATAAGAAATATGTATTTTCCTTGGACTTCATTAGCTGGGACGAGCAGTCTTATGTTAATGAAGAAACAAAGATTTGACCTTCCCAATCAGACATAATCTTCCTCAACCTGATGACAGAAAATTCCCAAAGAAGACTTCTCAACCATCAGTCAAAAAAATTGCAGGTATTCAAGAGGGGTTTGAAAATCAATTGTCCTTTTTATTGTTCACTAAATAGGCTTACAAAAAAACAAATCTTCAAACATTTTTCATTTCTTATTCTTCAAAATGTAAAACTAAAAGAGTTGGCAAGGTCGTTGTTCCCGCAGTTAAACAGGGATATCAGTTTTCTGCGATACCAGGATTCTCAAGGACACTGTGTCATGTCTGCTTTGACTGTGGTATTTATCACCAGTGAAAAAAAACATACAAAACTGCATTAATTTGCCAACTTAAGATTTTTAACAAAATTATAAAACCATCAGTATTGTACATACCCGTGCAAGCTTTCACTTTATTATACAAATGAGTTTCAGTGTAGCTTCATGAAATCATGCACATCTTTGTAAACAGTGACTGCCGGACAGTGTTTAATATCTTGGAAGTTAAACTTTTTTATTACATACAGTAGCATATACCCCTAAAGCGTATTTAAACTTTACAATTAATAAAAATAAGATTAAGAATAAGAAGAAATAAATTGCAACATAGGACATTGGCTGTAAACAATTTTTGAGCTAGACTGAAATTGCACATCACAATAAAGTGAATGCTTAAAGTCTATATATAAACACTGAAAAACTGATGTTTACAAAAACCCTTCCACAAATATTTCTCTGAAAGTCTCAAAAACAAATTTAAACAAATAAACTAGATCTAGAAATATTTGAGCTTTAACCAGGTGGAATTATAAGACGTAGACATTCTGAAAATTACAGGTCTGTCAATATGAATATATCTTAAATTTATCCAGTGGCTTATATACAGTGCACCAGGTTTCCTCAACTGCATTCCTGGAGGGCCACGCACTGGAGAGTTTAGCTTAAACCATCATCAAACTCACCTATCCGCAATTTTCTTTAAGTCCGTAACTGTAATTAACTCGCTTGTTAATTCATGAGGTAATGAACACAGTTTACTGGTCCAAGCCTCCACTCAGTTTTAGTTGAAAATAACATCTCAACAGCCATTTATGAGCGCTTGTAATGGTGTACTTTATAGTGTCCACGCTGGCAGTGTCCTGGATAGGCATCTGCTTATACCTTATTTGGAAAGCCCAAGAAAATGGCTTTAAAACAAATAACGAATTCTACCAGATAATTGAAAAAAAATAAATAAATCAGCAGAGACAGTCACACTCTTTTGTTTGCTGGAGAACAAGTGTGCCAGGGAAAGCACAATATTTACATAAACCTCTCAAATCACTATGCAATACCGAGTGTGTGAAGTGAATGAGTGTAAACACTATGAATGAAATAATGAATGCAAATCAATCAACTGTGTTACTGTCTCTGTGTGTCTCTCAGAAATCAGAGCTATGCCAAGAGTAAAATCTAATATAATGAATCATATACATTTTTACTATTTATTTAAATTACCTTGTACTATATGATACACAATGTTACTCTATCTCACTCTTTCCTGAAGCCGGCAAGCAGACATGAGTTTATGGATTTTCCTTGCATTTAAAACTTTGTATTATTGTAGATATTGATTAGTATTATTGTAGATATTATAGATATTTAAAGAAAAGTTAGAAAAAAAATTTAATGGGTCATACCAGGCATATATATATATATATATAAATGAAGGGAACAGAATTATATTTAAAACTGGCCCATGTGATTTGACTTCATTTGGTTTAAGCCCAGTCCACTTACGGACTTATTAAAAAAAAATTGAGATTGCTACAGATAAAGTAATTGGCTCCGCTGCACACCCAATATTTTAACATTTCAGAAAAGATGGATCACTGTCTGTCCAACTGAGATTTTATGCATATAAGAGTTAGTGTCATTATTTTTGGTAGTACTACACAACAATATTAACACCGTTTGTTTGTTTGGTTTTTGGTTCTGATAGAGTGTTTGGTCTCTGAAGACCTTAATAGGCTTGTTCAGGTGTCTTTGATTAAGGTTGGAACTCTGCAGGACAGTGGCCAGCTCTGAGAAACCTGCAGCACACCTACCAAATCAAAATCTGGTACCATGATTTTGTTTCTGCAAATCTGATGAAGCCAACAAACAAAATGCAGACCTTACACCTTGCCTCTACACATTTAGAGCAATAACAGTTGTTACGTTCTCAGATGTTTATAGGCCAAAGTTCTCCTTGATACGAAAGGCTAGGAGAAAATACCACTTCCTTCGAGATTTCCATACAGGTCTGCTAATTTTTTGAAGCGCGGCCCCCAGTCGCTGAGGTCCTCATAACTCTGCTCTGACCCTGAACTGGGTGATTCCAGCGTGCTTAGAGACTCTGCTACGGAGCCATTTCCTTCAAACACGTACATCTGCAGTGAATCGTACGGTGGTGCGGAGGGATCCACATCAGTCACTTTCAGCCTGTCCCAGATAAACTCTTGAAAGACAATGTTGTCAGGAAGTGTTTTATAAGATGTCCTGGAGGTAGCAGAAGCTGAGTATGGGTAGACAGAGGCTGATTCTGGACTGACATCCTGGACCTTTGAATCACGTATGATATTGAGATTACGCAGGGTGACCATATCGAAAGCTTCCGTATCTTCTTCACCTCCTCCTTCATCATCATACCGAACAATATTCTCCCTCACATCACGCTCGTCCTCGATGAAAAGAGGTGTTTTTCGTCTACGTCGCATTGCCATGATCAACAGCATCAGAACTAGAAGAGAAACAGACATGCTGCATGTTGGAAATGAAGGTTTAATGGTTGCACCAATGCAAGGAGACCACAACTGCAGTGATAAATCATTTAGGATTTTCCCCCCTCTGGTTCATAGGCTAAAGATGCCCAGTAAAAATATTTGGTAACAAGTGTCAAGTTGATAGACTTTTATTCGAAAAGGCTTGCTGCTGTATTAAAACAAAAAGTGTTCCAAGTAAATATAGTTGAGGTATAAGCACAATTGTGAAACCAGGTTTTTTGTTTTTGTTTGTTTGTTTTTTATTCTTCTTCTTATCCTTTAAAGTTTAGGGTTAGTCCAATATTACATTTAATTTGTAAAAAGATCTGACAAGATTTTAGTTGGATCCATTTATACGTTTCAGAAAACTAGAATTTTAATGGGGTGTGTAGACTTTTATGCCCTCTGTACTTGTGATGAACTTAGACTTTTCAAAGTTGTCATTGCTTATGTATTTTTCAGTCAGAACTGATTTCACAGCAGGATTTTGAATCACAGACAGGTCCAGATATTTAGCATGCCAAATATTTCACAGGCGCCGCCTCTCTTAGATTACGTCTTTGATTATTCACACTGCATGATCGTCACTCGCATGAACAAGCACCGATTTGCCTTTGATTTCGGCCATTTATCTGCGATTTCGCAAAACCTGTTGGTGATAAACGTATCACTGCATCTAAACCAACAACATGCCTGTTAGATCCTGTACCCACTAAATTACTGAAAGAGTTGTTACCTGTAGCAGAAGAACCGCTTCTCAATATTATTAACTCGTCGTTGTCTTTAGGTCACGTCCCAAAACCATTCAAGCTGGCGGTTATTAAGCCTCTTAGTAAAAAGAAAATATTGGATGACCAATAATTTTCTCTTATTAAATTCAGATAAGACAGAGATATTACTTATTGGACCAAAAGACAGTACACAGAATCTCTTGGATTACAATTTGCAACTAGACGGATGTACTGTTACTTCCTCTACAGTCAAAAATCTGGGTGTTATATTAGATAGCAACTTGTCTTTTGAAAATCACATTTCCCATGATACAAAAACAGCATTCTTCCATCTTAGAAACATTACCAAGTTACGGTTTGATTGTATCATATAATAATTGCTGTTAATAGTGTTCATCGTCTGTTTGATTTTCCCGTACATTTCTGCCATATGTACATTAACTGACAGTCACCACTGATGAGCTACCACTAAATATTGTAGAAACTTAATTTGCTGTTAAGTTGCTTTGCAACGATTTGTATCGTGAAAAGCACTATATAAATAAACTTGAATTGAATTAAACTTGAATTAAAAGACCCCCCTTGCCAACTCATACATTCATAAGATTTTTTGAACAAAATAAACCACTAGTATGATTTATTTTCACACAAAAATCTTTTGTTTCAAATCTGTGTGTAACAATTGTGTGAAATGTATTTTTCAAATTTGGCTGGCCATTGCTCTTTAAATAACTGGTGAAATAAATGGGAAACATTTTCTGTTGTCATTTTTCTTAATCTAATGTTTAATTTGATCATAAAAGATACGTTTTGATTTGTAAACATTTGATTTGTAAATGAAGACATTAAATAAAGACATGCATAATGTTTTTCAATTATAAATTCTTAATTAAATGTAGTCTGAGTGATGAATGGAGCTCAAGCATAGTTCAGGCAGACCACGGCGTGACAGCAACATCAGCTGACACTAAGCTGATGGTAACTCCTCCCACTACAATTATATAAGATATTTAAGTTCATCCGTACTCGCACCAGCCTTAGTCTGTTGCACAGACATGCGCTTAGTCAGCTTCAGTTCTATCACACAGAAACGGGCTAAAATAGCATGAGTTCTGTCACGGGTCAAATCAGCTTCCAGTTTCGTTGAACAGAAAATGCACTAAATCAGCCTTCAGTTCTGTCGCACAGAAACATGCTAGTCTGTCACAACAGACAAACGTTAAGCCGGCTTTCAGTTTTGTCGCACAGATGCATTAAGACAGCTTTCAATCACTATACTCTGTCGCACAGACACGTGTTAAGTCAGATGAAAGGATTTGTACCCCACACAAATGTCACTTCAGATTCAGTTTTGTGATCCTGAACTCCCAATTCACCACATCGACCAGTATAAGCAGCTTGATTGGAAGTGACTTCAGAACAATTCATTCGAGATTAGCCCATGAAGGACTATGACATCAGTAGCAAGCATCTTCATCACATCTGAATATAATTCACTCTCCATTCATCTGAATGTGTCTTCATAAGCTAAGCTAAGTTTTCCTTTTATTCCGTTACTTAAAAGTGAACATAAATGTTACAGTCATATGTACGGTGGCCGAGAGAGCTCAACGCGCTGCAAATAGAAAAAAACACCTGCAAATTAAGAAAACAACTTCATCAATTTGAAAACACACGAGCTACAAATGCTCACAACACAACCAAACAAAGAATACGCAGTATTGCTTTAGATACGCAGTAGCAGCAAACTGGTATTTACTTGCCTTGTGCAGCAAGAGTTTTCACCTGCAACATGAAGTAAGGTCCACAGCTTATTCTGACCAAGAATTTATATAGGATTTACACATACGAAATTCAAACAGCTGTAGCGAATCAGCTCATGGGGAAATATGAATAAACATCCCTTCTCATACATTACAAATGAAAATAATCAACAACCAAATGTCAGCCAGCAAATGCCTAATGATCCACCACCCATCATTGTCCCAGCAGGGAGAGTGAAACATTGCTCAGTGAAAGCAATATTTCACTGAAATGTTTTAGTGGAAACTGTGAAGCTTCTAGATAGTAAGGAATGCACTGTCTAAAGGCGTTTCACACTGAGCGCGATGCTAAAATGCGAGGCGAATTGCAGACAAATGGTGCTTTTACACCAAGTGCGAAACGATTGATTGCCTTATGCTATTTCACGCCTACACATTAGGTGACGCCTACCAGCAATGCATTTTTCCTCAGACATGTATCTCATATATAGAGATAGCTGCTCAATATACAGTATTAAATTAAGATAAATAAAGTTTGGTTCTACACCAGAAACACAAACTCTCTATAATGCTTACAAGAATGCATCTTAAAATATAAATAGAGGTACAATTAGCATCAAGCTACATTTGAATATGTATGAGATTATGTTTTTTGCCTAAAACACACTTTAAACCATCATTGGGTGCTTGTAATAACTTCGATTGATATCTAAAGTGGATTTTTATTCTATAATAGGCAGACATGCACTCTCTGTAATAAGTTTTATAATGGATTGAACGTGACACCTGCTTATCATTTGTCATGAACATCCTTTATTGTTATTAAAATACCATGAGCTGCATAAAACACAAACAGAAAATATATCGTCATAATCATGTTTATTTGCTTTCATATTTCGTGAATAGAAAAATGTTTCTCTCATTTTTTCATGCGTAATGGCAGGAGATATTATCCCATGATTGACAGATCTTGAGTAAGTGCACTCTGACTCATAACACTTGCACACGTGGAAGAAAACCGACAGTGTTCTTCAGATAAAATAATTCAGTGGAGAATTAATAGAAATTATATTATGTATAAAGAACAATGTGAGAATAAATCTGTTCTCAGACACCAATGATAACAAAACTCAGCGTCCTCTTCTCTCTCAGAATACTCTTCTTTGGTGTTTGTTTACAGTGGTTTTCGAAACAGCGCTACCACTCACACCCTTTTGTGCAACAGCAGCTGCTCTGGGCATGTGATTTCAGCTGAAATCTAATTAGACAGCCCATTTCTTCGTGGGCAAAAAAATCGACACACAAAGAAAAAATATCTTAACTTTTTCGCACCACAGTGAGGGGTCTGTGAATGTTTGTTAATCTAATGAATAATTGATTTGTTAAATCAAATGAAAAATGGTGTGTCTGATTGGTCCAGACGCTACACAGCACTAAGGCATAAATCTTTTTTTTTCTCAGTGGAAACAAAATTCCATCTAATTGCATTTTAGAGACAATGAGAAATTAGTAAAAGCCTCTTGTGGAATTTGTATAGAAACATTCCTTGTCATCTCACTCATTCTGCCACATCCCTTCTCATACATTACAAATGAAAATAATCAACAACCAAATGTCAGCCAGCAAATGCCTAATGATCCACCACCCATCATTGTCCCAGCAGGGAGAGTGAAACATTGCTCAGTGAAAGCAATATTTCACTGAAATGTTTTAGTGGAAACTGTGAAGCTTCTAGATAGTAAGGAATGCACTGTCTAAAGGCGTTTCACACTGAGCGCGATGCTAAAATGCGAGGCGAATTGCAGACAAATGGTGCTTTTACACCAAGTGCGAAACGATTGATTGCCTTATGCTATTTCACGCCTACACATTAGGTGACGCCTACCAGCAATGCATTTTTCCTCAGACATGTATCTCATATATAGAGATAGCTGCTCAATATACAGTATTAAATTAAGATAAATAAAGTTTGGTTCTACACCAGAAACACAAACTCTCTATAATGCTTACAAGAATGCATCTTAAAATATAAATAGAGGTACAATTAGCATCAAGCTACATTTGAATATGTATGAGATTATGTTTTTTGCCTAAAACACACTTTAAACCATCATTGGGTGCTTGTAATAACTTCGATTGATATCTAAAGTGGATTTTTATTCTATAATAGGCAGACATGCACTCTCTGTAATAAGTTTTATAATGGATTGAACGTGACACCTGCTTATCATTTGTCATGAACATCCTTTATTGTTATTAAAATACCATGAGCTGCATAAAACACAAACAGAAAATATATCGTCATAATCATGTTTATTTGCTTTCATATTTCGTGAATAGAAAAATGTTTCTCTCATTTTTTCATGCGTAATGGCAGGAGATATTATCCCATGATTGACAGATCTTGAGTAAGTGCACTCTGACTCATAACACTTGCACACGTGGAAGAAAACCGACAGTGTTCTTCAGATAAAATAATTCAGT